ATCTGGACAGAACAAATCACTGAAGCCCCATGTTGCATTCTAACTGCCTGGGTGTGTCAGCAGCCACCCTCTTTGTGAGACCCCGCTGCTCTGGTACATGGATTTTAAGATATCGACAATGATGTGATAAAATAAGAAAGGGACCTGGGAGTGAGGGCATTCTCAGCTGGTGTATCTAGTGGATCCGGCTTCCCCATGGACTCTACATAATGGAAATTTTTAATTCCTTTGAAGGCTAAGTTCCAAAACTGGTCTCCCATCTCACCTAGGAAGAGAGACCACAGGAAGGAACAGAGTTAAGATTCATATCCAGGAACCACTGCCCGCAAAACTTATTGATAATTTTCTAAATCAGATTAAACTTGACAGTAAGAAGAAAAGAAAGGAAAATATGTCAACTATGTATTAAATGCCAAGCATTATCCTAATATTACCTCATCTAATTCTCAGGTGTCTGTAATTATCCTCAATTCACAGGTGTGAAGACTGACTCAGATTTAGAAATTTGCTCAGGATATTAGGGACATTATATATTGGAGCAATGATGCAAAAACAATCTGTCTGTCTTACTGCAAAGCTGGTGTTTTTTCTACTGCATCATACCAAGAACAGTTTCCTAAACTGCTCTAAGAGAAAAGAGACATTTAATACATATCTGTGTCCCTGGATCAAGTCTCAGGTAACAGCTCTAAGTTGAGTTCATTAAGAACTTCCAAAATAAGGGTTCCTAATAGTCATAGCACAGACAAAATATTTGGTTCTTGTGATACACACAGACTCCCTTGGACCGTAAGGCAAATTCTCAGTTTGAACATGACAAGAAGTAAGGCAGACTAGAGAAGTTAATTTAGAGAAGTTCCCCTCCCCCAAGTATGATGAGACATGGAACAAAATTCATCTGACATGCAGTGGAAAAACCAAAATTTGGAACTTTCACAGATACAATTAAAGTTGCTTTTAACATTCTAAGGTATAGCTTCCTCTTCAAGACAATCCAGTGGCCAACAGTGCATAAGCTTCACCAAATGGACCTAATATCAAAGAGTCTGGTAGCCGGAAGAGCCCAGAGCAATGTAGATATGGATGAGCAGAGGGTTATGAGATGAGCAGCATAAGGTAGGAAGGAGCCCCAGACACAGTGAAATGGTAAAACTGAGTCTGTGTCCTACCTCTGGACTCCAGGCCTCTGCTTCATTGAACTCAATAACTTTTCAGAACATAGCAAGCAAAAGTTTCTGCAGGTATCATCAAGTCAGTCCTTAAAACCAGCACCTTGATTTCTTCCCAAATGATGCTGGGGCCTCTGAAATGGAGACAATAATTGTTTTCCAAGGTTGTAGCTAAAATTACCTGATATGTGTCCACTTGGACCCTGACACTAATAACACCTTGTGGTTTTTACAGAGGGAAAACTGAGGCATTAAAAAGTGAGGAAACTTACTTACAGACATAGACACCATAAGAATCATGACTTACTCGCACAACTCTCTGTATATTCTAAAAACTACTGAGTTATACACTTTAAAACAGGGGTCCCCAACCTATGATGTGTTGCATAATTATTTCATTATATATTTCAATGTAATAATAATAGAAATAAAGTCCACAATAAATGTAATGCACTTGAATCATCTGAAACCATCCCCTTCCCACCAGTCCATGGAAAAAAATGTCTTCCGTGAAAATTATCCCTGGTGCCAAAAAGGTTGGGGACCCCTGCTTAAAGCATTGAACTTTATGGTATGTGAATTATATCTCAATAATATTTTTTAAAATCATGACTTACCTTCTGGGCAATGCTTTCGACAGAGAAATAATATTACTACCTTACAAAGCCTATTGGTGGCTTGTAACTCACTTTTATAAAACATAATCAAGTACTTTCTATGTGTAAAAAACCATGCTAGACGCTATGAAATATTTAACAAAAATAAGCTTGTAGTAATATATAGTTTACTAAGCATTTGCCAGGAATATAAGCAATTTCATACATTACCTTAAATAATCACCACCAGATAAGAAGGTATTATTATTATTCTCATTCTGTAAATTGGGAAACTGAATCTGAGAGCATTAGATAATTGCCCAAGGAACCTAGCTAATACATAGCTAATGAAAAACAGAACTGAGATTTAACTCAAATCTTTCTGACTACAAAGTCTATAATTTTATCCATTATACTAAGCAAGTGACAAGAGAAGAGAGACCTGAATGCAAAGAATACATGAGAATGAATGGCAGGGTTTTGAGAGTGGGCAACTACAGAGCGAGTTTCAAAGTTCTAAACTACAATGCTGGAGTTGCAGTGCAAAGATGGCTTTAAAATTCCATCTCAGTGTGGAGTCTGGGGCCTGAAAGTCTTCCTGACACAGCAGTCATCTCATAAAAAAACAAACACAATTCCACAAGTGCATACAATTAAAAATGACCATAATATCCAAGGGCAAACATAACTTTCTGTGTTATTGTTTTGGTCTAGGACTCTTTGGCTATGCAAGGCTATGCAATGAATATATCTCAGGGGCATATCTATGAACAGACACTCATTCTCAGTGTTTACCAAGCTCTAGGCACTGTCTAGATGTTGGAGTGAATAATTATGATGAATGCCCTCAAAGAGTACCCAGATAGGAGTTGACTGTGGAATATATGAGGTTAAGTGTTAAGGTTTAGCATTGAACAGCATGGGTTTTTATCCTAGTGCTGCCACTTACTAGCTGTGATTTTGGGTACATTTTTAAATTTCTCTATTTATTTCTTTACAGTACTGACCTTTCAGGGTTATTGTGAGGAGTAAATAGATAAGTATGTAAAACTCTCATGTCTAGAAGATAGTAAGCACTTAATGGTAGCTGCTATTCTCATCATGTTCATCACCATCATCATCATTACCTGGTGGCAAAGTACAGAAGAGCTGGCTCTCCATAGCTAATACTTATAGCTTTCTGATTGTTTTTGCTACCCTCAAGTACATTTGATATATTTTATGTGTTTAAGTGGCATTTTCCCAAGGGTCCAGGCACAAAGTTGCCGAATACCAATGGATAGAGGGTGCTAGAAGGAAGTCCACTCTAAATTCACCCTGAACACTTCTGAAAACACTACTTTTATATATAGCTTATTATACTTTTCTAGCTTAGAAAAGAGCCTTTCCAGGATCAGAGAATGTTTCTTCTCTTCCTGGTTGACAGGATTCCTTACATTGCTCGTACAAATTATTTGTGTTTGAGTGAGCCTTAGACTCTTAAAATGGTGTATAATTTTTGCACAATAGTTATATATAATAAATGCACAGAGATAAGCTAGTATAATGGTTAGGAGCAATGGCATTATATAATAAGGTAGATGTAGGTTCAAATACTGGTCCCTCCACCTACTAGCCATGACCTTCAGAAAGACTCTTATGCTTTCTGAACTTGTCTCTTCATCTGTAAAATGGGATAAAAAATACACATCTCATATAAATGTTGTGATGATTAAATGAGATGATATGTGAAAAATATTCACACCATCTAGCACACAGTAAATTCTCAATAAATGGTGATTTTTATTATTATAAAAAACACATGAATCAGGTGAGCCTAGTGGCTCAGGTTCATTTTCAATTGCATAAGAATTTATTGTGCACTTGCCAAGTATGTTACCTCCTGCTACTTTCTGTGGGTGCTAGATAAAAGAAATGCATTACATGAGTCCTCTAAAACAAAGTCTGTGCTTTTCACATGTGTATGACTCTGAAAAAAAGTGTCCTGCAACATGTCCTCATACTGGAAGGTGGGGCTGGTACTAGCCTTTCTATAATCATCTACAGATGAGAATGCGAAGAAGGAGGAAGATAAACATGTCGGGAGGCGTAGCTAGGCTTGATTGAAAATTAATCAGCCCACACTCACGGTTAATTATATAAGGGCCACTATCTCAGTCTATTATCACCCTGAAAGCTGCATCAGGCTTTATCCTACTTGTTCCTTTGGTGAACCAGGTGAGAGAAAATTCATCCAGCTACATTTATGAATATTATCTGTTGTTCATGGTAAAAATCCCAGGGTATGAGCTAACACAAGAGTTCATATATATTTTGCCTTTCTTTTCTTTTTTGTTTCTTGCTTTCCTTTTCTTTTTGTTTGCTTATGTTAGTTTATTAATCTTTTTGGAATAAGTATGTCTTTATGGATAAGAATAATGCAAATAGAAGTTTGTCTTCTTCTAGGCCATTCTACACTGTCTTCCCAGTCTTTTTGCATGTTGAAGGTTGTCCAGCTCAAATAGGGAGGAGGCTGGCACTGTTGTAGAGTCTCTTCCATGTTCAATGTTGGTTCCCAGAGCTTCAAGGTCTAATTATCCAGTAGTCAAACTGCTTTCTGCATTGCTGAGCTTTTCTCCCTGATTAATTAATGAAAAAGAACCATGTTCAGTTAAGCGCTTGAGATTAGGATAGTTCCTGAGCTCTGATGAGTGCTATTTCATGCCTTTGAAATACCAAGATGTCATTGGCTCACTTGGCCCGTTTTTAATTTGCTACAGATCTTAAGGGTCCAGTTTAGCTTCTGGTACTCAGAGGAGAAATATATGTGCATTATGAAAGGTCTGTCACTTTTGACTCAAGAAAAGCTATGAAACTAGAAAGAGAGATTAGGGCTATGGTGTCTGACTGATTATAAAATTTTAGAAGCCTTAAGGCAACACCCAGGAAACCAATGTAGCCAAAGTGTAGAGATATTATATAGAAACTATATTCATCCAGGACAGGAGATCTAGTCTCCGTTGAGCCAGTAACATGCCATGACTTGATCTTAGAAAAGTAACTCAAATTTAATAAAGTTCATTTCCACTGAGTTGAAAGGTGTTGCAGCATCCCTGGCCCATCCTAACTTTAAAAGGTTGGGTTTAAAAGAGACAAGAGATTTGAAAAATCATGATGGCAATTATTAAAATGTGAAATGCTGATAAATTAAAAGGAAAGAAAATGGATGAAGAGTCTTTTGTTTATTTCTCTACAGATACACTTAAACTTGCAAAAAGATGACCGACCTATTGAGAAGTGTTGTCACCGTCATTGATATTTTCTACAAATACACCAAGCAAGATGGGGAGTGTGGTACACTGAGCAAGGATGAGCTAAAGGAACTTCTGGAGAAAGAGTTTCGTCCAATTCTAAAGGTGAGAATCATGTGCCAGGACTGAAGGTTGCTGGAGTTCTGTACATGTTCTGTTGTAAGACCAAGATTAGCTAAAAATGGCAAGGTCCCAGTGGACTTTAAGCAAACTCTATGAGCAGCATTTTTGGGGACATCAGAAAGTCTGTTAAGACAGCATGTAATTTTAAAAAAGTGAAAGTTTCTTTCTCACTTTTCTATGTACTCCCACCTTACAGACTCTCAGTCTGTAACTTGCACCCAAGTTTCCCCTTCTGATAAAGCAGAAAATAAATTTGTGCTAAGACATAAATTAATAAATTATCCTATCAAATGGGAAAAAAGTATAGAAAGGGAAATCATCTACAAGGGAAATTGTAAAGGATGATTAACCACAATGATTAAAAACTGAAAACAAAATACAAGTCCTACTTGGGAAGGACTCAGCTATTAATTTCAAAAAAACAGATAATGGATTCTAATATGGATTATGTTAACATGCAATGTTTAAAACTTATGTAAAACTAACAGATACCAGTTACTGAACTTGGTTTATTCCACTCTTTCCTGCAGGCCATACCTAAGCACTTAATCCTCTACTTAAATCTTTGAAATGTCTTCTAAGGATCCCAGTAGTTTTTATTTTCTATGAACTCTTCACATTTACTGGGTCCTATTAACCTAAAGTAATCCTCTATTGAATGTAAAACTACATAATGTCAAACATCCATAATTCCATAGTCCTACTTGAATGTTTTAGTCGGGTATGTGGGCTACGCTGACCAGGTCTCCCTTGGTGTGTCACTCATACACAGAACCCAGATGATCCGGACACAGTGGAAGTCATCATGCATATGCTGGATCGAGATCATGACCGCAGACTAGACTTCACTGAGTTTCTTTTGATGGTATTCAAGCTGGCTATGGCATGCAACAAGGTTCTCAGCAAAGAATACTGCAAAGCTTCAGGGTCAAAGAAGCATCGGCATCATCACCGACACCAAGAGGAAGAAAGTGAAACAGAAGAGGAAACACTGGGACAGAAATCAGGTTATAGACATTCAAGTTGGAGTGAGGGAGAGGAGCATGGATACAGTTCTGGGGGTTCAAGGGAAACTGGGAAACATAGACATGGTTCCAACGCCTGGAGGCTAGGAAGGCCAGGTAATCTATCCAGTTCAGGGAACCAAGAGAGAGCTGAGAACAGGCACCATGGGTCTCCCTCTGATCACTCATGGAGTAGTGGCAAAGAGAGACATGGTTACAGCTCTGGAAAGCTGGAGGAAAGAGGAAAAAAGTCACATGTTAGTCCCTCTAGGGAATCTGGTGAGGAATACAAATCTGGATCTGGATCACAGAGTCAGGGAAGGATAGGTCATGGTGGGCTGTCACATGGGCTGGAGACTAGTGGGCATGAATCAAACTCTACTCAGTCAACAAGTAAAGGACAAAAACTTGGCTCTAGATCTGTAGGTTCAGGAGACTGTGGGAGACAAAGTTATACATGTGGTTACAGTAATTCAGGTGGGTGTGGAAGACCACAAAATGTTTCTAATTCTTGTCAGGCAAGTAGATTTGGAGGGCAAAGAAATCAGTCTAGCTGTACCCAATCAGGTTGTCAGTCAGGAAGTAGTGGAGGACAAGGTCATGGCTGTGTCTCAGGAGGTCAGTCCTCTGGATACAGTCAACCTGAGCCTAGCTCCTGCAGCCAGTCCTCTAGTCACAGAGGATATGAAACTAGAGAATGTAGTCAACCACAGTACTGTGGAGGACAACAGAGAATAGGCTCAAGTCAATCCTCTTGCTGTGGACAATATGGGTCTAGACCAAGTCAGTCTGGTAGTTATGGCCAACATGGATCTGGTTCCTGTGGGCACCATTCAAACTCTTGTCAAAAAGGGTCTAATGAGTTTTCCCAATGTGGTCAACATGAGTCTGGTTCAGGTCAGTCTTCTAGGTGTGAGCAAAATAAAACAGGCTTGAGTCAGTCCTCTAGCCGTGGACAATCTGGGTCAGGCTCAAGTCAAACTTGCTGTGGCCAGTATGGGTCTAGATCAAGCCAATCTTCTGGCTATGGTCAGCATGGGTCTAGCTCAGGTCAATCCTCTGGCTCTGGACATGGGTCATGCTCAGGTCAGTCCTCTGGCTATGGCCAATGCAGGTCTGGTTCAGGTCAGTCCTCTGGCTTTGAACAACATGGGTCTGGCTCAGGTCAGTCATCTGGCTTTGGACAACATGAATCTGGTTCAGGTCAGTCTTCTGGCTTTGGACAACACGAATCTGGCTCAGGTCAGTCTTCTGGCTTCGGACAACATGGGTCAGGCTCAGGTCAGTCCTCTGGCTTCAGACAACACAGGACAGGTTCAGGTCAGTCCTCTGGCTTTGGACAACATGGGTCTGGCTCAGGTCAGTCCTCTGGCTTCGGACAACATGGGTCGAGCTCAGGTCAGTCCTCTGGCTTCAGACAACACAGGACAGGTTCAGGTCAGTCCTCTGGCTTTGGACAACATGGGTCTGGCTCAGGTCAGTCCTCTGGCTTCGGACAACATGGGTCGAGCTCAGGTCAGTCCTCTGGCTATGGCCAACACACACATGGTTCAGGTCAGTCCTCTGGCTTTGGACAACATGAATCTGGTTCAGGTCAGTCTTCTGGTTTTGGACAACATGAGTCAGGCTCAGGTCAGTCCTCTGGCTTTGGACAACATGGGTCAGGCTCAGGTCAGTCCTCTGGTTTCGGACAACATGGGTCTGGCTCAGGTCAGTCCTCTGGCTATGGCCAACACACACATGGTTCAGGTCAGTCCTCTGGCTTTGGACAACATGAATCTGGTTCAGGTCAGTCCTCTGGCTATGGCCAACAGGGATCAAGCTCAGGTCAGTCCTCTGGCTACAGGCAGCACAGGTCAGGCTCAGGTCAGTCCTCTGGCTTTGGACAACATGGGTCCGGCTCAGGTCAGTCCTCTGGCTTTGGACAACATGGATCAGGCTCAGGTCAGTCCTCTGGCTTCGGACAACACAGATCAGGCTCAAGTCAGTCCTCTGGCTTCGGACAACATGGGTCGAGCTCAGGTCAGTCCTCTGGCTATGGCCAACACACACATGGTTCACGAAAACCAGAGGAACGGACCTTGAGCCTGGACCCATGTTTGTCCCAACAGCAGAGGATGACTCAGAGCCGATTTCATGCTCTGTCCAGCAACAGAAGACTGACTGAACCAGATTCATGTTGTCCAAAGCAGAGGACTGACTGAACCATGTGTGTGTTGGCCATAGCCAGAGAGATCTGACCTGAGCTCGACCCATGTTTCCGAAGCCAGAGGACTGACGACCTGATCGTGTTGCCCAGAGCCGAGAAAAAAAAAAACAAAAAAGACTGCCCCTAGGCACTTGAATCTATGTCGTTTTCCCAAAGCAGAGGAACGTGAACCCTGAGCTGGAACCCAGCTCGTTTTCTTCAAGAGTCAAGGACTGACCTGAGCCTTGGCTTGTGCGCTAATAGCCAGAGGGAACGGCCCCACCCTAGTAGAATATCACGGGCTGTTTTGGCCATTAGCGAGATTGACTGAACCAAATTCAATGTCTGCTCCCACAAGCCAGCCAGGACTGGACCTGCAACCAGATGTTGGTGTGGACCCAGTGTGACCAGAAGGGATGTGCAGACCCTGAAAAATGTCGTTTTCGTTGGTCCGGCCCCATAGCACAGAGGACTGACCTTGAAGCTCGACCATGTTGTCCAAAAGGAAGACCTGACCAGAGCCAGACCATGTGTTTGTCCAAAGCAAGGACGAGCTTAGAACCTTCTGTGCGTTTGTCCGAACCAGAGGACTGACCTGAGCCTGGCCCATGGTTGTTTCGGAAGCCGGAACAGACTCGCCGAGCCAGATTTCCGGGTGTTGCAAAAGGAAGCTGCGGATGAAAACCGAAAGATTCTGTTTGTACCAGAGCCAAGATGACTGATCCTTGAGCGAAGAAACCGAGATGTTTTCTCAACAGCCACGACTGGCTCCAACAGGACCAATGCATTTGACCATAGCCAGAGGTACTGGACCTGAGCCAGACTCCATGTTCAGGAAGCCAGAGATGATGAATGAGCCTCATGACCACGTGCTGGACCATCAGCATGCAATGATTGGCTTTTGACTGAG